ATACGCCAGACAGAAATGACCTTCTATACAAAATCTGAGAAGTGTTTATGTATTGAAGCAGAAATTCAGTGTATACTTTTATCCCTTCAAGAACATTGTTGTTGATGAGTCCTTGATTCTGTTCAAGGGACACCTGTCATTCAAGCAATATATACCGAGCAAACGTAATCGCTTTGGTATAAAGCTTTTTGTTATGTGTGACTGTGAGAGTGGTCTTGTGTTGGATGTAATTGTATACACAGGGAAAAACACACTCGATGATGACAGAAGGATGTTGGGCATTTCCGGTGATGTTGTTCGCAGGATGATGGAACCATACCTTGGCAAGGGCCATACATTGTACACAGACAACTGGTATACAAGCCATATGCTTGCTGATTTCCTACGTGTGAACAATACTGATATGTGTATGTGGAACAGTGAGAAGGAATAGGAAATATATGCCAAGGTTCACTGGAGGCAGTGTTGAAGGTGAAGTGCAAGCGTTTCATGCTAATGACATCATGGCACTGACGTGGCATGACAAACGAGACGTGGCATTGCTATCAACCATCCACAGAAACGAGATGGTACAAACAGACAGACTGAGCAAGTTCAACAACGAACCTATTGTGAAGCCACTTGCTGTCGTGGACTATACGAACAATATGCGACTAGTTGACAAGTGTGACATGATGATAGGGTTTGTTGACTGTGTGCGTAGGAGTCGCAAGTGGTATATAAAACTGTTTTTTCACCTTGTAGACATTGCAGTGCTCAATGCATTCAATATGTACGAAGTAAAGACTGGAAAACGACAACGTTTTGCAGATTTCTCTCTGAATCTCGTCAAACAGATAGCAAGAAAGTATGGTACCACACCTGTACCTTACCCTCAACAGCGACCTGTCACACCACAACCTGTCCCCCAACCACAGCCAGTGGGGGAAGTGCCAGACCGAATCACTCCTAACTGTCACTATCTGGTACCAATACCACCTACCCAAAAGAAGAAGAATGCCCAGAAAAAGTGTATTGTGTGTGCTACCACCAAAAACGACCCCAACAGCGGAAGGACACACGATTCATGTGTCACCAGTGTGGGGTGGCACTCTGTATGAATCCATGCTTCATGGAGTATCATACAATTGTGGAGTTCTAGAAACATAAGTGGGACATGCAAATACTTGTTTATAGTTGTAGATAATAATGTGTGATTCAGCCAGGTGTGCAAAATCACCTGTCAGTGTGTACATGTGTGTTTATGACAATATGATAAAAATTTCGTATGTAATATTGGTGTATAAACAAAAATTGGCATTGATATCAAATGACTTACTATGAAACATAATTATCATATCATGAAAACCAAGAAAATTAAAAAAAAAAAATGGAAGAAAACGGTAAATATGTTGAATTTCTGCAAGCAGCAGTGCTCCATGTTGCCGTCAGGTGATCGCCAAGTGCCAACTCAGTGCGGCCTCATACCTCGGTAAGTACTGACCCTAAATTATTTTTTTTATGCTAAAACACTTAAAAAAAGTGCTTTATATATATATATATATATATATATATTATATATATTATATATATATATATATATATATATATATATATATTATATATATATATATTATATATATATATATATATATATATATAAAGTTTTTTTTTTTTTTTTTTTTTTTTTTTTTTTCAAAATATTCAGGGCGCTACGCGAGTGAACGTATATATACGTTTGGACCGTTTAAGGGTTAAACAGTCCAAGCGTATATATACGTTCACTCGCGCAGCGCCCCGAATACCTATTTTGAAAAAAAAAAAAAATTTATAGAAAAAAAAGAGCACTTTTTTTTAAGTATTTTAGACTAAAAAAAAAAAATTTTTTTTTAGGGCCAGTACTTACTGAGATATGAGGCCGAGAAGTTGGCACTGGATGCTCATGTGACAGCAACATCGAGTCCTGCCGCTTGCAGAAGTGTTGCCGATATACCTTTTTTTCTATTTTTTATATTATTTTATGTAATTTTTATGTTCTGATAATTACAATTTGTAGTAGTTCTTGTCATTTTATAACCAATCTTTTTCCTGACACTTGTATTAGGTACTGAAATTGTACTCAAATTGTCAGAAACACACTGACAGATGGACATTTACACCTGCCTTAGCCATTTACTATTGTCTTGGAATATATACAAAGTATTTATATGTCCCCAGCAATGTTTTGGATATGTGGAAGTATATAATAACAATGAGGAGGAGGAGGAGATGGAGGAGGAGAAGAAGGAGGAAGGGGAGGAAGAGAAGGAGGAGGAGGAGAAGGAGGAGGAAGAGGAAGTGGAGGAGGAGGAGGAAGAGGGGGAGGAGGTGGAGGAAGAGAAGGAGGAGAAGAATAATACATAATAATAATAATAGGTAATAATAAGTTCCCTTGCAGCATGAAAAACAAAGTCCATCCCTGACAGTGACATGATAAGATGAGATAACAACTGATAAGAGTTGACGTTTGATGAGCATACACGAGGGTGGGAGAGGGTACAGCTGATAAGAAAAGATTAGAGGTGATATTTGATGAGCATCGCCCTCACTTTGTTTTCGCTGGTACACAAACATGTCTGTCTGCTTGTCTGTCTGTCAAGCTCCCTGTCTATCCGTCTAGCTCTCTGTCTCAGAGGCAGCCACAAGACTGCGTTATCATCACGTTTACTCACATCTTCAAGCTGAGTATAGCACTTTGTCTGGATTTTTTGGGCTATCCTAGGTAATTTACACTATTTTTTTTTTTTTTTTTATTATCACACCGGCCGATTCCCACCAAGGCAGGGTGGCCCGAAAAAGAAAAACTTTCACCATCATTCACTCCATCACTGTCTTGCCAGAAGGGTGCTTTACACTACAGTTTTTAAACTGCAACATTAACACCCCTCCTTCAGAGTGCAGGCAGGGGTGTTAATGTTGCAGTTTAAAAACTGTAGTGTAAAGCACCCTTCTGGCAAGACAGTGATGGAGTGAATGATGGTGAAAGTTTTTCTTTTTCGGGCCACCCTGCCTTGGTGGGAATCGGCCGGTGTGATAATAAAAAAAAAAAAAAAAAAAAAAAAAAAAAAAAAAAAAAAAAAAAAAAAAAAAAAATAGTGTAAATTACCTAGGATAGCCCAAAAAAAAAATTTACACTATACTTGTATTTATGTGTACCTGTGAGAGAGAGATAGACAGGCAGATAGAAAGAGAGAGAGATTGAAAGAGATACAGAGACAGATAAACAAAGACAGATAGAGACAGAGATAGACAGAGACAGAGGTAGACAGAGACATAGGTAGACAGAGACAGAGGTAGACAGAGACATAGGTAGACAGAGATAGACAGAGGAAGAGATAGACAGAGGAAGAGATAGACAGACCCTAAACTTGGGGTTAACATCACTCTCCTCTTAAAAGAGGAGTGTTAATATGACATTACATCAGTGAATCCTTGGTGTTTGCCGCACTGTTTGCTCTAGCTGGCGCTCAATTTAACTGGCACTCCCACAAGGTACTAAGTGGTCCCAGATTTTTTTAATACCGTGCACACTGAGTGTTAGGACCCATTCTATGCTGACAAGGCATCTCAGGCCAATCGTGCCAAATTTGAAGGTAGGAAAAATAAAACGTACATATACGTTTGGGGCGCTAAGCGTAAGAACGTATATATATGTTTGGACGTTTAAGGGTTAAACTGTGGCCTCTTGTTATCAGTTTCGGGTACGAAAAAATTGCCTTTATCTAGTCACCCATGTCCTTTTGTGACCTTATGTGTGGTTATCATGTTTCCTCTCTTCCTCCTATTGGGCAGCATCATCTTCAGTGCTTTCAGGCTTTTTTTTTTTTTTACTCTGGTAACCTTAGACCTTTTCTAACTTACCCATGTGTTTTTTAAAGTGGGGGCACCACACCACCACTACAAATGCCAGTGTTTGCATAATATATGCTTTAAACAGCCTTTTTTTTTTTTTTAACCATTTCTTCCTCCATATTTTTAAAAGCTGTTTTATCATTTGCTAAAGTGTCATAAGAGTTTCTCACAGTTTTGCTTATAGTATGATCTCCCAGTGACACTATTTTTTAAATATTAGCTCCTAGTTTCCTTTGTCTGTCAGACACTTTTAATATTTTATAATATAGTCTTTATTCTTCATGTGGCCTGATGCCACTCTCCCATTCCTATTAAATGCCCTTTATATACAGTAATGTCCATCAACCATCTATCACTCCATTTACTTAATTTTTCTAGATATTCTAACAAGATTTTAGTCATTTTTATTATTTTTTGAACCTGATATTTTTTGCAGCATATACAAATACGTATATTCATATAGTTTTTAATCCTTCTGGTAAATCTTTATATAAATGATTATATATATAGTATGCATGCCTTACTGTGTTTCTGTATTTGTTCATCCCAAGAGTTCACATACCCTCAGTCCTAGCTAGACCTGGGCAAACTGATTGTTGTTTAACATGTTGAAGGTTGTCATGACATGGTATTGTTTTATAAAGTATCTGTTGTTGTTAAACAAATTAATGCTACTGAACTGTTGTTAAGTTGGATGTCAGAGGGATAAGAAAGTAGGGTTACCTTTCTTGACCTCTCTTAATTATGTGATGGCTGTGTGGGCCAGTGGACCACCAACAGCAACAGCCTGGTTGAACAGACAATCATCAGAAGAGCCTGGCCCCAGTTCAGGTTGGAGAAAACTTGAAACTGTTCACAGGTATATCACAGATCACAAATATATCAAAAATTTCAGAAAATATAAATGTGGTATTGATTTAAATTTTGTATTAATTCTAATCCTTGATAGCTATAGCACTAAGAAAAAATGACATTTTATTTTTTCCTGTTTTCAGTCATAATTATAATTCCTCCTTTAAATGTAATACAGTTTAAGAGATTTTTTTTTTTTTTTTTTTTTTTGCTTGACAAATTAACTAATAAAAGTTTATCCAGGAGGATAAATAAGTAATTTGAATTACTTTCAATAGGAACATGAAAAAGATAGAAAAGAAGGAGAACTTCTAGAGCAAACTCTTTCGTCTCTAGTTTGGATATGTACATCTACCCACTCCATTAGTAAAGTTACAGTCATCGATGCTAATAACCCAGCAGACATCCTCGAATCATTCCATGTCTGCTCTTCACATCTTCTCTGCATAGCTAGTGTTCCAGGTAAGTAGAGTAGAGTAAAAATTCAGTTAATTGAATTGATAAGGTAATTAACACATTAGAGATGAGAACAAAAAGCATAAGCAAATTCTTCATACACTTTTTTTTTTTTTACCCTTCCTGGAATGTCCTTTATACCTTCCAGCTGTTTATCATACTCCATAACCATAATACAGTACATGTAATTATAATCATTATCCATGACGATACATTCCTATTACAAATATTTTTTTTGTGTATAAGAGCCAATAACAGTGCAAAGCATTTCTCATAATTTGCCAGTGATGAAGCCTCCACTACTACTTACAGTGAATGACCCACACAGGTTTAGCACTTTTTATAAATACAGTGGACCCCCGCTTAACGATCACCTCCAAATGCGACCAATTATGTAAGTGTATTTATGTAAGTGCGTTTGTACGTGTATGTTTGGGGGTCTGAAATGGACTAATCTACTTCACAATATTCCTTATGGGAAAAAATTCGGTCAGTACTGGCACCTGAACATACTACTGGAATGAAAAAAGTTCGTTAACCGGGGGTCCACTGTATAAATAATTATACCTCTTGCCACTTGTAGACATATTCTTTCAAATATTACAAAATGTTGGTAGGTGGATTACTTAACTTCTGCACTTGATGAGGTCTTCGGTTAATCTTTTTTTTTTTTCTTCTTTATTAAAGTTTTTATATTTCATACCCTCAGACCTGCTAGTTAGTGATTATGGACTTCATTTTTTTTTTTTTTTAAGAGGGATATCTGAATGATTGTACTTGGCAGTTGACCATGATGTTTGGGTGAGCTTACACTGGTCAATCAAGCATTTGTGATATAGTTGCTTTTATTCTAACTTGTAGTAAATTATTCTAGTAAATTTCATCCATATTATACGGTGAATCAACTGACTAATGTATATCAGACTCATTTTGTGCTCATGTCTTGAATATTTTCCCAGACATTCCCTTTGATACAACCTTGCAACACACATACTCCATATTTTGTAATATTGTACCTTCGTTCTTGCAGGTTTGGTGTTGCTCACCATTAATGTGACGAGGAGACAAAATATCAGGGAAACTTTGTGTTATGGGTCAATGAATTTCAGAAAGCTTTTAAATGAAGATAGGGATTTAGCTACTATTCCTGGACTTGTATAATCAAATCTAAACTCACAGTAACACTTGCAAAATTCTCCCAGGAAATATTTGCACATTAATGTTTGCCTGGTTTTAGTGAATGTATTGTCCACATTCTTCAGTCTCAAGCTGTGCTAATATAATTCACAGTTTTGTCAAACAATTTTTTTTTTTCTGTTGACTAATTAAAATGTGTCTTACTGAAATTTACATTCTTATACAGAAATGTGAAATGTAACAGTAATTATATATTAAAATTTTATTTAGGTGCCAAAGAGTCTGACTACTCCATTGATGAAGATCTGAATAAGTTAGTTGAGGAGTCACAGCAAAACAATTGTGATAACCCGGATGATACTAGTGCCAATGAGAACAAAAATAAAGAGGAGAGCGGTCCGTCCATGGGGACCCTTTCCTTCATAAGCTGTGCTGCTGGCAGTGAAACAGGGGCACCTGATTCACCCTCAGAGAAGGAGCCTGAAGGTATAGTGTCTTTTATTTCAATATTGAGTTATTTTTGCCAAGTAAATCAAGTTTGCTGTGTTTTTGCAAAACCTCTTAACACTTTCGTGTGTAATTGAAGAAAGTGTAGCTTAATGTGTGTGTGTATGTATGTATGTGTGTCTTCTTATCATAACATTTGTTTTTGCCAGTTTTAATGTTCTGTATATTGTTTCAAATGTCAAATATTTACTAAAATTTTGTTAGTAAGGATAGGTTTCTAATTAACATTACTGCACTTTGATCATGAATTAAATTAATTTTCCAGTGACTTTGTAGATTTTACCTTTTTGTGAGCTTATATCTTGGCAAATTGCTTTTGCTGAAATCTTGTACCAGTATTGTATTTAACATTGCATGTGTTCAGGGACCACCTTAAGCTTCAGTCACTGTCCACATATATTAGCGTTTGTCATCCTCTATTTAAAATTAGGTCCCATTCTTGGTTATTACTTAAAATAATAAGTTTACAGTTCTATTATCCTAGAATGGGTGGTATTCAAACCCATAGCAAACCAGTCTTTAGCTAGCAGGTCAGTGCTCTGTCTACTAGACAAGGGGTCTCCAAACTTTTCACTACGAGAGCCACATCGTATATTTTACACATTTCTGCAGGCCATAGAAAAAAATCAGTCTTATAAATAAATAAAATTTAAGCGAATAAATAAGTTTTATTTGGATCTTTTTTATAATCAGCATGATATAATTTAGAACGAGAGAACTGTGACACGTAGGAAGAAACAATACTGTGCTCACACTGAAAAATTATTTTTCTTTTTCAACACACTGGCCATCCCCCACAGAGGCAGGGTGTCTTAAAAAGAAAGAACCACTATCACCATCATTCACATATAATCACTCTCTTCGTAGAGGTGCTCAGATACGACAGTTTAGATGTCATTCCAAATGGCTAATATCCCAAACCCCTCTTTTAAAGTGCAGGCATTGTACTTTCCACCTCCAGGACTCAAGTCAGGCTAACTGGTTTCCCTGAATCATCATCATCTTTCAACAAACTGGCCATATTCCACCGAGGCAGGGTGGCCCAAAAAAGAAAAACAAAAGTTTCTCTTTTCAACTTTAGTAATGTATACAGGAGAAAGGGTTACTAGCCCCTTGCTCCCGGCATTTTAGTCGCCTCTTACGACACACATGGCTTACAGAGGAAGAATTCTGTTCTACTTCCCCAATTCTTCTTTTTATTAACACGTCGGCCAATTCCCACCAAGGCAGGGTGGCATGAAAAAGAAAAAACTTACATCATCATTCACTCCATCACTGTCTTGCCAGAGGTGTCTTTACACTACAGTTATAAAACTGCAACATTAACACCCCTCCTTCATAGTGCAGACACTGTGCTTCCCATCTCCAGGACTCAAGTCCAGCTTGCCGGTTTTCCTGAATCCTTTCATAAATGTTACTTCGCTCACACTCCAACAGCACGTCAAGTATTAAAAAACGTTTGTACATCAAAATGGTATACAATACCGACAGGTTGGTAGGTAAGACACATAGGCAACAGTTAGGCAACTTTATTCCGAAACGTTTCGCCTACACAGTAGGCTTCTTCAGTCGAATACAGAAAGTAGGCAGAAACAGTAGAGATGTGAAGACGATGTAATCAGTCCATCACCCTTGAAGTCGTAGAATTTGAGGTTGTCAGTCCCTCAGCCTGGAGAAGTACAGTTCCATAGTCAGGAACTATCTGAAGATCAAGCAACAGTGCGGAGACTTAACTACTGTCGGAAGGAGAGGTGCAGAGTAGTAGTAGTAGTAGTGAGAATGCAGCCACTGAGAGGTCATGTCCCTCTCAGATCCAACAGTTCTCACTTGAAAGGGTTGTCCAAGGTGTTTTCTGTACCAAGAGGCCATGTGTTGCAGTGTCTGACAGGATGAACATCAAAATGGTATACAATACCGACAGGTTGGTAGGTAAGACACATAGGCAACAGTTAGGCAACTTTATTCTGAAACGTTTCGCCTACACAGTAGGCTTCTTCAGTCGAATACAGAAAATAGGCAGGAACAGTAGAGATGTGAAGACGATGTAATCAGTCCATCACCCTTGAAGTCGTAGAATTTGAGGTTGTCAGTCCCTCAGCCTGGAGAAGTACAGTTCCATAGTCAGGAACTGTATTCGACTGAAGAAGCCTACTGTGTAGGCGAAACGCTTCGGAATAAAGTTGCCTAACTGTTGCCTATGTGTCTTAACTACCAAAAACCGTTTGTGTAATTCACTCCTATCAAATACACTCAACTAACTGACATTAATACAATTCTCATAGTTTTCGAAATAGAAATGGGAAACATGCCCACTCACTCAGCACTTGGACCAGATTCATGGAATGCTCTGTTTATATAGAAGTGCAAAATATCACTAGCACGAGCCCTCAGTATTCTTTGGAGAAAGAGCCTAGATCTAGGTGAAATACCGAAGGCCTTAAAGAGTGCAGACATAGCTCCTTGGCATAAGGGAGGTAGTAGAGCACTACCTAAAAATTACAGACCAGTAGCCCTAACCTCACACATAAAAATCTTTGAAAGAGTGATGAGACAGCAGATTACAAATTTCATGGAGCAGCACAACCAACATAACCCAAACCAGCATGGTTTTAGAGCAGGACGATCATGCCTGTCACAACTACTGAACCATTATGACAGAATTACGGAGGCATTGGAAGACGACCAAAACGCAGATGTGATTTACACAGACTTTGCAAAGGCATTTCACAAATGTGATCATGGAGTGATAGTGCACAAAATGAAGGCCATGGGCTTTATGGGGAAGGTAGGCAGATGGATTTTTGGTTTCCTAACACACACAACACAAAAAGTAGAAGTGAACAGGGCAAGATCCAGTATCAGTGAGGTCAAAAGCTCAGTGCCCCAAGGCACTGTCCTGGCATCTCTGTTGTTTCTCATCCTCATAGCAGACATAGATAAAAACACCCATCACACTTTTGTATCATCATTTGCAGATGACACTAAAATAAGCATGAAAGTCAGTACGGTAGAGGACACTGAAAAAGTACAGGAAGACATAAACAGGGTTTTCCAGTGAGCAGTGGAGAACAACATGGCGTTCAATGGTGATAAGTTCCAGCTGCTTAAGTATGGAAAGAATGAAGAACTCAAAAGGAACACTATATACAAAACTCAAGTGGGTCACCAAATAGAACGTAAGGAACACGTAAAAGACCTGGGAATAGTTATGTTAGCAGACTTTTCTTTTAAAGACCATAAAAGGACAAAGATCACGACAACCAGAAAGATGACGGGGTGGGCATTGAGAACTTTCAAAACAAGGGAAATAATGTCGATGGTGACACTCTTCAAATCGCTAGTGCTCCCTCACTTAGAATATTGCTCAGTGCTGACGGCCCAGTTCAAAGCAGGAGAAATATCGGAGCTGGAACAAATACAGAGATCGTTTACGGCTCACATTGAGCCTGTAAAGCATCTAAACTACTGGAAACGCCTGCAAGTCTTGAACATGTATTCATTGGAGCGGAGGAGAGAGAGATACATAATAATATATGCTGTACCTGGAAAATATTCGAGGGCCTGGTCCAAAATCTGCATACTGCCATAACAAACAGGGGTGAGAGATATGGGAGGAAGTGTAAAATAACCCATTGAGGAGCAGGGGTGTGGTAGGGACAAAAAGGGAACGCTGTATCAACATCTGGGGTCCCAGACTATTCAACATCTTACCAGAAAATATCAGAAACATGGCTGGAACACGTGTAGAAGCCTTCAAGAGGAAACTGGACAAGTATCTTCACCAGGTGCCAGATCAACCAGGCTGTAATGGACGTGGGGCAGCGGGCCTCCAGCAGCAACAGCCTGGTTGACCAGGCAAGCACCAGACGAACCTGGCCCATGGCCAGGCTCAGAGAGTAGATAAACTCTCAAAACTCTTCGAAGGTATATCAAAGGTGGTGCAAGCCCCTCACGCACAAAACCTACTTGACCCCTTCCCCCCAACCTTCCCTTGGCTGACCCCTACCCCGCCTTCCCTCCATTTCAGATTTATACACTCTCGAAGCCATTCTACTTTGGTTCATGCTCTCTGTATATCCGAGCAACCTCAGCAACCCTTCCTCAGCTCTCTGGATAATAGTTTTGGTAATCTCGCACCTCCTCCTAATTTCCAAACTTTGAATTCTCTGCATTATATTCGCATCACACATTGCCCTCAGACATGACATCTCCACTGCCTCCAGCCTTCTCCTTGTTGCAACATTCACCACCCATGCTTCACACCCATATAAGAGTGTTGGTATAACTATACTCTCATACATTTACCCCTTTGCTTCCACGGACAAAGTTCTTCATCTCCACAGACTCCTCAGTGTACCACTCGCCCTTTTTTCCTCATCAGTTCTATGATTCACCTCATCTTTCATAGACCCATCTGCTGACCCGTCCACTCCTAAATATCTGAATACATTCACCTCCTCCATACTCTCCCTGTAATCTGTTATCCAATCTTTCATCACCTAATCTTTTTGTTATCCTCATCACCTTACTCTTTCCTATATTCACTTAATTTCCTTCTTTTACATACCCTACCAAATTCATCCACCAACCTCTGCAGCTTCTCTTCAGAATCTCCCAAAAGCACAGTGTCATCAGCAAAAAGCAACTGTGACAACTCCCACTTTGTGTTAGATTATTTATCTTTTAACCCCACACTTCTTGCTAAGACCCGCACATTCACATCTCTTGCAACAACATCTATAAATATATTGAACAACCACAGTGACATCACACATCCTTGTCTAAGGCCTACTTTTACTGGGAAATAATCTCCCTCTCTCCTACACACACTAACCTGAGCCTCACTATGCTCTAAAAACTCTTCACTGCTTTTGGTAACCTACCTCTTACTCCATACACCTGCGACATCTGCCACATTGCCCCTCTATCCACCCTGTCATACTCCTTTTTCAAATACATAAATGCCACAAAAACATCTT